ATGACTTCCTGGTTCATAGGTCGACACTTAACCACTGAGCCATGCCAGCTGGGCCTTTTTGCATTGAGAAAGTAAGGTATTCTATTAGCTTTTTAGACTTGTCTGTTCAATTTATTCCCCAGGTTTGGGATGTTCTCAGCTATTATTTTTCTAAATACACTCTGCTCCCTTCTCCCTCTCTTCTCCTGCTGGACCAGTTATTCTTATATTTGTTTCTCTCATCATTATCATAGAGCTCTTGTAAGGTTCATTTTCTAAAAATCTTAGTTTGCTCTCCTTTCCTGAGTCATTTCTAAATTCCCATCCTCCAAGTCAGAATGCTTTTTTAAAAATCTGATCTGCCCTTTTCCCTAAGCTCTCTAATGCATTCTTCATTTCATTCATTCACTTTAGCTCCAGAATTTGTCTGCTTTTCCCTCCTTTTATTGAATTTATTGGGGTGACACTGGTTAAGAAAATTCTACAGGCCTCAGTTGCACAATTCTACAACATATAATCTGTACACTGTATTGTGTATTCACTGCCCTGTCTGCTTCTTTTTAAAAATTTCAGTCTTAGGCACAGATGCCTTTTGTTCAATAATTTTATTCCTAAATTCTTTGGAATCCTTTTTTTTAAAATTGTTTTATTGCTTAAAGTGGAATCCCTTTCTGACTTTTCTAGTAGCTCATTGAATCTCTTCAGCTATTTTGAATTCTTTATCAGTTAGATCATAATATTCTGTCAATTTGGGTTCAGGTCCTGGAGAATGATCATTTTCATTTTTGCGATACCATATTACCATGATTTTTCCTGGTGTTTGACAAAATGTGTCTCTGTTGTTGCATTTGAAATAGCACACATCTTTCTTAGTTGTTCACCTTGTTACAATTCAAGACTGGAAATTAGGAACCTTCCTTTTATTTTCCAGAAGGTGGCGGAATAGCTCAAGTTTCTGCTCTTTTCTTGAGTTGGCTCTGGGGCTGGCTGCCCTGGGGAAGGAGTATAAAAAGGCTGGTGTAGAAAAATCTGGAGTAGAGTTAAGGGAAGTGCAGGGTTAGCATCGGGGACTTTGTGTTGCCCACAGCCCAGGAGGGGAATCCTCCAGTGGTTTGTGCACAGACTCCTGCTGAAACCCTAAGGTTTTTTTCAATACACTTTATTATCCTTGTAAACTGCCTTCCCTTTCCTCTCCTTCCACCCAGTCAGGAGATCCCTCCTCAGTTACTCCTGCTACTGAGGAGAAATGGATACCTCAGTCCCAGCCCTATGGTCAGTTACTCAATACTTTCTCTTTCTACCTCCTTTGTGAGAAAGGTAGCTGTTGTCACTGCTGGTAAAAGCCCAGCTTGTTACCCTGTCACCTGGGGAGGAGGGCTGACTTCTTGAGTTACTTCTCCTCTGCCTCCAAACTGATCTCTATCCCATTTGATGACAGGCCTGGTTCTCCCATGAGGTTGGCTGGATTTCCACAAATTCTCCATCTCCCTGTGTGTCCACCTGTTTTGCACTCTCCAGTTTCGCTCCCCTCCTAACCCCACTTCACTGCAAGTGGGGGTGGGGCAGGCTTACTGACTCCCTTGGATCCGAAGCCCCCCTCTGAGGTCCTACCCACCTACTTCTGAAGCACGCGAAGGTAGAAATCTCTTGGGTGTCCTGGTGTAATGAGCAAAGACACTTTTGTACAGATATGAATGACCAGCTAGTTTTAAGTAAAAGGGGAGAAAAAACGGGACTCATGCTGCCATGATACTGATGTCACTATTTTTTACATACGGGTTTAAGTTACATATAGTATCAAGAATTAAAATATTTCATACCTGGAAGCTTTGGTAAGTCACCTGAATTAATTAAAAAAAAAGGGGGGGGCGAATTCCAGGTCAAACACTGTCTATTAAGGATTGCCTATGGGCATGGCATACCAGCAGGTTATGAATGTTGACTTGGGGTGAATTCCTGGTTCTTGGAAGGAGAAACACCCCTTTCAAAGCCATTTCTTTGTGTGCTAAAACAAGTAGCCCCTATGTGAGAGAAACCTCTAGTGTTTTAATTCATCCCACTTTTTCTTGTTGTTAATCCTCACCCAAGGACATTTTTTTCTCCATTGATTTTTAGAGAGAGTGGAAGGAGGGGGAGAGACAGAAGCATTGATGTGAGAGACACATCAATTTGTGGCCTCCTGCATGTGCCCCAACTGGGGCCGGGGATTGAGGCTGCAAATCGAGGTACATGCCCTTGACTAGAATTGAACCCATGCCCCTTCATTCTGTGGGCTGACACTAACTAGTGAGCAAATCCAGCTAGGGCTCCATTATTTATTTATTTGTTTGTTTATTTAATTGGTTGGGATGACATTGGTCAACATGAACATAGTTTTCACGTGGATTTGTTACGAAATCTGAATATTGCACCATGTGCCCACCACCCAAAGTCAAATCTTCTCCTGTCACCTATTAGGACCTCCTTCTTCCCCCACCCCCTTCCCTCTGGCAACCACCACACTGCTGTTTGTGTTCATGTTTCAGTTTTATGTCCCACATGAGTAAAATCATATGGTTCTTAGCTTTTTCTGACTTATTTCATTTAGCAATAATGTTCTCAAGGTCCATCCATGTTGTCACAAATTCATCCTTTCTTAGGACTGAGTAGTATTCCATTGCATATATATATATCATCTTTACCTAGTCCGCTATCGAATAACACTTTGGTTGTTTCCATGTCTTGGCCACTGTGAATAATGCTGCAATGAACATAGGGGTGTGTATATCTTTGCGAATAAGTGATTTCGAGTTTTTTGGGTCTATACCCAGGAGTGGGGTTGCTGGGTCATTTGGTAGCTCAATTCTTAATTTTTTGAGGAATAACCAGACTGCTTTCCATAGTGGCTGTACCATTTTACATTCCTACCAGCAGTGAAGGTTCCTTTTTTTCCACCTCTCCACCACTTATCTTGTTGATAATGGCCACTCTAACAGGTGTAAAACTACTCATTGTAGTTTTAATTTGCATTTCCTTAATTGCCAGTGAGGTTGAACATCTTATATCTATTGGCTGTTTGTATGTCTCCTTGGAGAGGTGTATTTTCAGGTCTTCTGTAGGGCTCCTCCCCCCCACCCGCCCCCTTTTATTTTGGTTATCCTCATCTGAGGACATTTTTTTCTTTTTTTAAAAAATATATTTTTATTGATTTTAGAGAGGAAGTGAGAGGGAGATAGAAACATCAACGATGAGAATCATTGATTTGCTGCCTCCTGCATACCCGTTACTGGGGATTGAACCCACAATTGGGCATGTGCCCTTGGCTGGAATTGAACCTGGGACCCTTCATTCTGCAGGCTGATGCTCTATCCAATGAGCCTAACCAGCTGGGGGAGGATATTTTTCCATGGATTTTTAGAATGGAAAGACAGAAATATCAATGTGAGAGAAACACATTGATTGGTTGCCTCCTGGACTCTCCCGACCAGGACCTGGGCCAGGAAGGAGCCTGCAACCAAGGTATGTGCCCTTGACTGGAATCGAACCCAGACCCTTCTATCTGCAGGCCAACACTCTATCCACTGAGCCAAACCGGCTAGGGCTAGACTTTTAAATCCATTCCACAAACGAGGCCAACTAAATGCAAGGCACAATGGTAGATCCTGGAAATATGTATTATGACTATCACACAACTTTGTGTATTCTTTTTGTTTTAAATGTCTTTATTGATTTTAGAGAGGAAGGGAGAGAGAAACATCAATCGATTGCCTCCTACATGCCTCCCCATCAGGGATTGAGCCTCCAACCTGGGCATGTGCACCGACAGGAATTGAGCCAGTAACCCTTTTGGTGCATGGGATGATGCTCAACCAACTCAGTCACACCGGCCTGGGCAGGGCACACAACTTTGCATTTCTTAGTGCTTTTTATTTCAATTCTTTTGGCATATCTAAGTAGCAGAAAGTAAAATGGTTTTAGTATTGGCCAATCACTGCCATTTTTTAAAAAGGCATTTTCCTTCAAGATTTTTAAGAAAACTTAAAAAAAAAATTGACTCTAGAGAGAGGAAGAGAGAGAAACATTGAGAGGTTGCCTCCCGCATACTCCCTGACCAAGGATTGAATCCGCAACCTGGGTATGTACCCTGACTGGGAATCAAACCAACCACACCTTTTGGTATATGGGATGACGCTTCAACCAACTGAGCCACAATGGCCAGAGCCAGTCACTGATATCTTTATTTTGAAAGTCTGAATTGTCCAATATGTCTAAAGTGCATTTTTGCAGCTAATCAGTAGCAGCATTTGTTTTGTTTATAAAACCTTAAGAAATATTCAGGCAAGAGCTGGAAAAGTCACAATATAAAAGAAAGTGTGATCTATATATCTTCTTCCTTAATCACTCAAGACAAACACTTGCACGAATTAGTTTATGAGTATACAAGAAATATACAAAAAATATCATTATTAAAAAGGTCCATACGGCAATGAGAAAAGAGGGTTTCTCTTTGCTGTTAATATTAAATATGGCAAGGCGTATAATATAAAAAGTTTGTTGAATCCTAGATGTCTTTGGGAAATCTTTGATCTAGGCCAGTGCATAATGTATCTGAGGTCTGTGAGAGTCAACAAAGCTGGACTTCTCCTGGCATGGTTTTGGAAAAATCACCAGCACAATGAAAATGTTCTTTCGTTACCGAGACGTTAGTTCATGGCTTCTTGCGCCTAAAATGCAAAAACAGCATTTAGTGTTGAATTTTGCTATCAATTTCACATTCAGGGCAGTTTAATCTCTAGGAGAGCTTTAAGATAATTCAACCAAAGGACTTGCATGCATGTATATGAGCATAACCAATGGACAGACTGGGGGGCGGGGGAGGAGGGCATGTGCTGGGGGGTGGGGACAGCTGGGAAGAGGTCAATGGGAGAAAAAGGAGTCTTATGTAATACTTTTAACAATAAAGAATAATAAGAAAAGATAATTCCTGGTTTTATCATGGGAAATATTCAAGTCCTTCTGAGAAAGCAAATAACTGTTACCAACTATGCTTATCTAGTATTAAACTTAAAAAACGGATGTCTTTCCATCTTTATCCTGTTACAGCGATTTTATATATTACCTAAGGAATAACATGTGTTAAATATGAACACGTGGACTTATTTAAGTAGATATTTGAAAAGAAGGAGTTTTACTAATATGGAAAAAGACTGTGATCTGGAATGGTCTTTAGAGATCATCCAAGACTCTTGGATATGTGTTTAATAGAAGAGGGAAAGTATGGTTCCTTTCCAAACCTATAAATTTCACCATTGTTTTACTTTAGTGAACACTTAATTGCTGTAACAAGACCAAGAGGCACATTAGGAAAGAATGAATTACAGGAAGAGCTACCATCCCTGACAAAAGCCTTTAACCTCCCCTCCTTATAGGTGATCTCAGTTTAGCCTCTGAAAGCTTTGACCATTGGCAGAATATGAACAAGAATGAGCCAATCTTCCATCTCCTTCTGTTTTGCAGCTCTAATTGCTCTTATCAAGCCCTGCAAGGTCCTCAGCCCTGTTGCTGTCTACTGCAGTCTGCCAGTAGGGCCCAGGTACGCCAAGGGGTAAGCAAAAGCCACTTATGTCCTCTGAAAAGAAGTAGATGGTAGAGAGAAGGGTGGTGTTGGAAGTACTAGAGGGAAAACATACAGGGCCCAATTACCCATACTCACTTGGGTTGTGCATGATGCTGATATCCAGGTCCCAGTTGAGACCCTGCTCTCATCTCTACAGCCACAGAGCACTGATAGGAAAATTACAGAAGAGGAAAAGATCAGTTCCCTCAGAGTCTATAAAACACAGTTCTGTTTAGATAGGTTCCGTCAAGGTGAAATCCACCTTGCTTTTTTAGTTCAGCACAGGTACCTGTTAAAATACCAGATACTTGCAGTTTATTTCACATAGGCCACAAAGACTGTGATCTGGAATGGTCTTTAGAGATTATCCAAGTAATTTTCCTCATTTTAGATAAAGAGGAGTTCTTGAGAAATTAGTGGCTACAGCTTGCCTGGCCCCCACCTTCCATATGAGCCTCTTCTTAGGAACAACAGTTCCACAGCAAAGTTCTGCTTCAGAGATTCCCATCCATCTGAAGTGAATTCTTGTTATCCTAGGGCAGCAATTCTCAACCTTTTTCATCTCGTGGCACACAAGCTAATTACTAAAATTCTGCAGCAATACCAAAAATACCTTTGCCTATCTGACAAAAAAAAAAAGGTATATACTTTTGATTGATTTACAAAAAAATATATAATAGTAGTAATTATCTACCCTTTTTGCTCCAATGTTACTTTATTATTATTTTTTTTAAATATATTTTATTGATTTTTTACAGAGAGGAAGGGAGAGAGATAGAGAGTTAGAAACATCGATGAGAGAGAAACATCGATCAGCCGCCTCCTGCACATCTCCCACTGGGGATGTGCCCGCAACCCAGGTACATGCCCTTGACCGGAATCGAACCCGGGACCTTTCAGTCCGCAGGCCGACGCTCTATCCACTGAGCCAAACCGGTTTCGGCTCCAATGTTACTTTAAAAAAAAATCAGGTGCCTACACATGTATAGGATTTCTGGTACCAAGAATTAACCAGACAGACACAACCTTATTATGCGACATGACCAATAAATAAGATGCAAGTTCAACATTATTATATGACCTATATATTTATGGTTCAAGACAGGGCTGCACTGGCAATTGAGATTAGACTTCAGCTACTCCAAAGAGCATGAAAAGCTACAGCTGTGGGGCTTAAAATATGACACCCCTAATTTTTATTAAGCAGACAAGTATTTAAGTTTTACCCCTACCCTGGTTTCTACATCGGTCCATTCAGACTCTGCATCATCTGGTTGGGCAGGTGCTACTGTGGAAGATCTTCGTTTTCGACTGGAAAAGGGGGAAACATGATGCAACAATTATTTTTGCATCTAACAACAGAAAACATTAGAAATAGGGGAAATACCACTACAGTTCTTCAGAGAACAAGAACAGAATACACGTTTACAGGCCAGTCTGTTCCTGGAGAATGAGCAGCTAAGAAAACAACAGTCCTCTAAAGGGACACATTTGATGATCACTCACCCAGTCGGTGATTCTTGTTTCAAAGTCTCAATATCAGTAAACTGAACAGCTTGTCCACCACCCCTTGTTTTATAAACATCACCCTAGAGCCAAGAGAAAAGGTCATCATTACACTTTCATACATCCAAATGATAAGCGTACAGATATACTTTAAATGGATACTGCAATCACAAAACCAGATGGTGCTTGGGACTGCTGGGCCTGTACATTAAAATACTTCAGAAATTTGAATACAGCTCTCTCACTAAACAAGAGGTCCACTGCGATATAATCAGTAACATTCTTAACTGCAGAAAATAGTATTCCTTTTCATTCAACTTATAAAAACTATGCTTAGGATCAAGAAATTTCTGAATGTTCTAAGGCATTATACTTTCCTCTCTGGGTGTGCCACCCCCTTCGTATTCAAATAACTGTCTTATTTAAAACTATAGTTATAATAAGAACCATCCTCTAAATTGAATTTGAAATTTAAAACTTTTTTTTCATCTTCACTGATAACTCTACGTTCAGGGGGAAATTCTTCTATAGACAGACAACAAAGGGCTTTGGGTAGCTCAATACTAAGTAATTTTGATAGGTCAAATTTTAATGTGGGCTTTTTATCTTGAACTGACAGGAAGCAAAGGTAGTTCTTTGTTTAGGTTTACTTTTCAAGTAGGGGTTAAAACGAAATACACATTAATTAAAAGTATGTAATAAATCTGGCATTCCTCTAACAAACCTGAGAATCTAAACTTCATTAAATAGAAAGCAAATTTAGTCCTGGTTTAACAGATTCACATCCCAAGCAGTTACTTTAGTTTTGTAACAGAGAGATTATATCCTATACCCATTTATGTCCCAGTGGACACTGCCTGTGTGTCATCGAAGGAATGGAAGGACAAATGGATTTTTGTTGACTTTTTTCCTCCTGTACAAATTTGTTTTTACCTTAATTAGTTTAGTTTCAATCTCCCCATCGGAGGCTAGTTCTTGGTGGGTCAGCATGTACTTCTCACACTTAGCTAGTGCCTTTTCATTTGCAACAGACACTGTGATGGCATGAGGGACATGTGGCTGCATGACTGTTGCAGTTTGCACGTTAGAGGCAGGCTTATGATCTACCCATCTGTCTCCTGCAGAGCGTGATCGTCTGTGTCGGAGACGAAGTGGTGGTGCGTTCTGATCAAGTTGAAAGGAATCAAGAAACAAGCATAACCCAGAATTAATTTAAGGGTATTATTAGAAGTGCAGCAGGTTTGGCTACATTAGTTGATGACAATATAAAACAAATGCATGAACTTTTTCAAAAGCTAAATATGTTATTCAAATGCTTTAAATGTCCTCTTTGAATTTAAACACAAAACCAACAAGCATCTTTTAACACCAGCTTGTATATTATACATTCTACCAGGAACTTTCCTTTCAACAAAGAACGGAAGGAAAAATCCTGGTAACGTTGTTAGTCTTCCCTGTGTAGGTAATATTCAAGACAAAATCATTTCATATTCTTGATCAAAACCCAATATTTGTGCTTGCTATTGTGAGGTAACCTATTAAGCCCACAACTATGTTAAAAGCTTCAATAATAATATCAATAAAAGCCTAAACATTTCATAGATCTCTAAATAAAAGAGAAAACATGCCTTATACAAAGACAAAAAAAAAATAAAAGCTGATTGGCCTGTATAATACAAAACGCTAAAAAACATAAGAACCCCATGTATAAAATGAGCAAATGAATGTAAATAAAGTACTTATGAGTATTTTCTGAAATTTTAAAATCTCTAAACAGAAGTTCATTAAAAAGTCAAACACAACAATGGCTATAACATATCCCCACGCCCCAAACATTTCATAAATGGTTCCAAGAACCAGATAAATAATATAATGTTAGACCATTCTCTATCATACA